AAAGAGAAGGAAAAAAAATCCCTACTACAACAGGGAAAAAAACCTGTTGTGGTAATTAAGTATCTATCTGATCAAATGAAGCAGACTAGAGAATAACCTTGCATATTGTTTATCTAAAATGTTATATTTCAAGTAATGTTAAAGCTGGAGTCCTTGAGACAATGTACTATTGTGGGATTCTACCAGGACTCCCAACACATGGGGGAGCTGGGGAGAGAGGTACATGTTGCATTCCTTGAGGACCCCATGTTTTATGCCACCTTTTGATCTAACAGATGGAGACAGAGGATATTACGACCTGATAATATTAAGGTGAGGATGAAAAGCAGTCAAGAGAAGAAAAAAAAAAAGAGATTAGACATAGAGAAAAAAAGTAATAAAGAACATTTAGAAACAGATTTTAAGAAAAGGAGATAAACAAGTAACAGAGAAGAGGTAGAGATAAATATGAAAGTGAAACTGTGCCCACTGAATTAAATAAATAAATAAATCCGTAGTGAGAAGGTAAAAGGGAACCACAGCCTGGAAAAAGACACAAGGATTATGAAAACAAACACTCTCGTAAAGTAACATTATATGGAAGTTCTATATAATGCTGATATCTTTCTGTGGCTCCATAAATTCTTTCTGCCCAAGCTCATGGTGAGGAGCAGAAGAGAGGTTTCTAAGAATCTATCTGAACCACACTTATACATCCAAAATATCTCCACACACACCACCACCCCACAAAAAACTCTAACATTTTTGTTTGCAAGAGAATAAATACAGTATTTCAATCAACCTAGATTATGTAAATTTCTTCAGATTTTCTAAAAGGCAAAATAAACCCATTTCCAGTACTATCATTCAGGAACAGGAACTTGTTTTTAGAAGAATTACTCTACAGTGATAAGTAAATGGTGTATCTGGATTAATTTATCGGCATGTCTGAAGAAGAAAATACTAGAAGATGAATTTTTACCTCCTCCCACTCAAAGCTAATTCTTACTATATTTTCAAAAAATGCACATGAAGACTAAGTATAGAAAAATGTGCCAACATTCCTCACCAAAAATAGGCAAAGAATGGGAAGATGAAATTTTAAGAGCAAATGGGGTATACCAGCTGTTCAGGATTTAGAAAGGGAACCCTTCCAGTCCTCAGAACAAAATGCATTACTTCTGTGCTGAGGAAGATTGAGCAGAATCAGGAGTTAAGCTGGGATACTTGGCAAGTGACCCTCTGCTCTTAACACGAGGTATGTAACCTGCTGACCTTCACTACAGGGACTGGCAAGTCACAGGCTAGACAGACAGCCTAAAAAAAATTCATGCCTAAAGCAGGAAAAGGTTTACCCACGATTTGAATATTTTCTTTTTGCTTGCCAGAGTGAAAAAAGAGGTACTTGAAAGGGAACTTGAGATATTTTTTTGCATCTTATATATTTCAATTGTTTTAACAGCCGGATTCAGTGTTTGGAAAATGAATTTTGCTGACAAAAAGGTAGCAATGTCTAGTGTCATTGTATATAGTGGAGAAAACCTATGCCAGTTCCAGAGAGTTGAAATGGAAAAGTTAGAAAAGTCCCAAAGCTCCATTAAATATTTACACACTGCAAAGTATTTGCAGACAAACCAAGAGAACCAAGGACATCCCACTACTCCCTTTTAAAACTTTCCTATTAAGAAAAACCACTTTAGCGATATCAGAGTTCACATTATGCATAAAATCCCATTACTTTACCACATGTAATTTCCACAAAATTTCATGTGGCATTTACATAATCAAAAATACAGTTTCAAAGTGGTGCCATAAAATCATGTGCTGTTTGCTTTTGTGGTCTTTCTCCTTTAGTGTCTCATCTCTATCTACAGACATAATCAAGTGTTACAAGAAGTAAATGATATGGCAACAAACTAGAAGTCAACCTTATGCCATGATAGCAACTAGAGTAACCTATCACGTGGCCCTCTTCTCTCTTTCTGCACCCAGATCACTTCTGTTGTGCAGATAGCATGTTTACACCAGCTTGGGGCTGTGCTCTATCTAATCTTCTGCTCTCTCAACTTCAATTTGTAACAGAGCAATAATTTCAGACCTGTCCTAAGTAAGGTGGTTACATCTATAGAAGAGTGTCTTTCTAAAAATATCTGAATAAGGTAGGACTGTAATTCCTACATTAATGCAGTTGATTATGTCTGGATGGATACATGATCAGGTCAACTGGATGTTAAAAACAATTTGAGTAGCTTGACTTATGGATCAATGCAGGAGTTGGGGAAAAAAAAGCATAATATGTGACAATTCAGTAACAAACTAGGTAATAATCTTTTCTTACTATTTAGTAAAAGAAGTCATTTTTAAAGATGTTTCAACCAGGTGAAGATATACATATATGAACTGTCATTATTACATAATGGTGAATTAGAGGAAAACAGTTACAACACAGACGTTTTTATTTAAGATTAATTTATTCTAAATTTACCCAATGTAGTCCATTGTCCTGAAGCTGAGAGCAACTTTAAACTGGAGTTCACATTTTGATCATTAAAAAATGCCTATAATATTCAAATAAGATAATACAAGTTAATGAAAGGAAACATAAAATCATCATTTATAGTGCCTTGGATACTTTCAAAGCAAGTTATAAGGATCCAAATAGTAAGTAGATTCTGTATGATCTTTCAGTTTGGATACTAAATATCAGACCACCAAATACATGTTTTTGTAACTTTGTGTAGCCACCATCTTTGATATATTCAAGATATCTTAAGGTACATATTTATATATGCAGTATTAAGATTCTACAGTAAAGCACTTTTAGTCCAAAACCACACAAAATGGTTGTATGAAATCCTTGGAGGCACAGAAAATGGAAAAAGAGGTGAAACAATCCTATCTCTGCATACAATGTTGTTGAAGTAAAAAATTAAATGCTAAGCATGATTGTAAAATTTACATTTTGAAAATAAATTTGAAGCTTGGAGAAGTTTAGAGACACACAAAAAATATTAAACAGATACCAAAGAAATCCGTAAGTTATTGAGGGGATGGAGAAGATGTTCCGCAGTAAGATTTGAAGTATTCAATCTTATTGATTTATCAATTAAAAAAAAAAGGACACATGCATAGTAATGTGGGTAGCTGACAAGTTTAAATGATAGATAAGCCAATTAAGAAAACCCACACTTATGTATATGCATACAGGCAGAGTGAATAATCGTTGAAGATGCTGCTAAGAAAATGATGGATTTTTCAGTCTCTGCATCACCAAATCTCTTTACCACCTCTCTGAGATACAGAAAGATCAAACAACAATGTAATGGGCCCTTTGTTCCCAATTAATTCACAGCTACTTAGAGTTCATAATTTCATAGTGACACTTTTTACATTTTTAATTCAAGAGACACGTATTGAGAAGGTAAATGCATATTTTGTAAACTTCAATCCTTTGAAATATTTATCAATGGAAGATGAAATATTGGTCTATTTCTGTGTTCTTTAAAATACAAAGAGCCTGAATTCTTTATCCAGGATAACAATATAAAGTAGATGTACAACAAATCAAAGAGTTGCTTTTAAAACCACAGATGTAAAAAACACACTTTTTTAAAACCACACATTATTTTTTTTTCTGTCTGCAAATAGATAAACAGATTTCACTTGCAGACAACAAAGTGGAAGAAACAAAATCAGGAAGAGACTTGAGTCTCACAGAGCTGAGAGCCCAAAATTCCAGTATAAATTGCATTTTCAGATATATGGTGCATACGTACATCTAATTGCAAGGTGTATTTACTGTGACAAAGCAGTAATAGCTGTGAGCAAGGGTATCAACTGCATGTACACTCTTTAAAGTCTCCCCCTGGGTGGAATTCCCAACATTAAATGTGGTGACCAAGATCAGCATCCAGTTCAGATTCCCATTCTTGGGAATCTTGAATGACTAAATTGTTCCCTCTTAAAACAGAGTAACACTAATACAGACTAAAATATTTTTTTTCTGGACAATACAGTTAACCCATAATGTAAGACTTGAGCACCACACCTAAGTCACCTACTTTGAAGGAGATAGTGAGCAGGTGAATAGCACATTAACACTGCTAAAATGTTTGGCATTATATGGTTTTCCAATAGCTATAATTTAAAGGGAAAAAAGTCAAAATATAAAGGACTTGGAAGTACCATAACAAATTCATCCTTTTGATAGGGCTTAAATTGCTGGTCAAAACTGAATGCTTGTGCTGTGATCCTGCCTTGCATGGACCTGAAATGGAAAAATGAGATTAAATATTCTGCACACATAGTAGGTACTTACTCTGTAAATTTGCCTAGTTACGCTACATAAAGCCCTATTCTGACCAATAATTATAATTTTCTTTTTTTTTTTTTTTTCATTCTCACTTACAACTGCCTCCCGCCCGTCTTTGGAGGGGTGAGGGAAGCACAACCGCTGCTCAAACAACATCAGAGCAACGCTGAGAAGCTGCAGTAATTTTGACTAACTCTGGAAGAGAAGGATAAACGCCTTGCACCTCAGAACAAGCCTTTTACGTGCCTGAAAAATACTGAGGAGACTTCCAATTAAAGAGGGGAGAAGACAGAAACAC